CTAGTTTTCTTTGCTTAGCTTGGAGCCCTCTCTCTTGCTAATACCTACTTCCGCTTTGACCTCAACCCACAGTAAGAGAATTTATATATGATGTCGTGCTCACTGTGTATATATACACAGGCACAGGCCTCGCTCAGCTTTAACCCAAATGTCAGTATTTACCAAGCTCTTGCTAGACATCAGTTCTTATAACTACAGTCCTATTTCTCTCATCTTCACCGAGTTGTTGCAAGACGCACCTGTATAAACAGTATTAGTTTCCGACATCTGCTGTAACAAATGATCACAGATTGAGTAGCTTAAAGCAACACAGATTTCTTCTCGTACAGCACTGGAGGGACAGAAGTTTAAAATGAAGTGGTTTTCATTTGTTCTGGAGGCTTCAGAGCAACAGCATGTTACATTTCCTTTTCTAGAAGTTTTTAGTTTCTCGAAGCCACTTACATCTTCTGGCTCGTGGCTTTATTGTTCCAACCTCTGGTCCTGTGGCCTCATCCCCCTTTCCTGACTTTGAACTCCCTGCTTCCCTCTCACAAGGACCTTGGTGATGGTAGGGAACCCTACTCAGGGTCATCGTCCCATCCTAAGAGTCTGAACTTAATCGTGATTGCAATATCTCCTTTGTAACATAAATGTATGTCATACATACGTATGCCCGTAACGCAGCTCTGGGCATTAGGACATAGAGTTAGTGCTACGGACAATGTTGGTATGATACTGTCTGACACAATCATCTGAGTTCCTCAACTTCTACTTACTTTTCAACTTTTACAAGCTTCTGAACATGCCCATCTCCCCAGGTGATTCTCAGTGGGCCACGGGTACCTGTCCATACTGCTGAAAGCAGTGGGTGTTCTAGGTTTCCTCTGGAGGGGATGAATAGGATCTGGGGTGATGGACAAGAAGGTTTAACGATGCCTCAGAAGTGACTCAAGTATGTGGTGATCAGCCTCGGGGGTGGGTGGGGGGGCAGGATGATGGAGAGCCTGGCCTAGGAAAAACATCCAGGCCAGGGGTTCCCTGGGTGGCTCATGACAGGATACTAAGATCCCACTAAGCTAGGCTCTCACAGCTCCTGGCTTTACTGGCAGCCTCGGGTGAGTCCTTCCTGTGTGTCAGGAAAACCTGACCCATGGTATTGGGGCCACCAGGAGGACTCTGCGCCCTAGGGTGCACTGTACTTCTCGTACTTGACATCATTTTTTGCTACTTTGCTTCTTTACGTGAAGTGACTCATAGTCACTAAATACTTGGCCAGACTTAGGATGATTTGGCGGTTTCGGGGGACTGGAGGGAGCTGCAGTGTGGGAGCTAAGTTCTGATGAAGTGCACGAGTGAGTACTCCCTCTGTTCGTTGGAACATTCTGGACTGGCAGGTGTGACCACAACATGACTTTCAGGAAGACTTGGGGAGATGCCCTGGGAGACTTTTGCTGCAAATTATGGTTCAGGATTCCAAAAGCTGGCAGGGATAACTTCGGCACAGGTCTGTCTGTGTGGGAATTGGGAAAGTTCTGAGGACTTCCTCCACCTCCTCCCCTCAGAGGCCCTCAGCTGCCAAGCCCAGCTCCCACACACACCTCCCCAAAAAGCCCCTGGCTGCCCTCCCAGCTGCCTGGAGATTGACCTCTGAGGTGTGAGAAGGAGGAAAGGAGTCTACGTTTCAGATGAACCTTCCTTCCTCCTTTCTGAGAAACAGCTCGGGCCGCCCACGCCTGACCTTCCTTCATCTCCTCAAGGCCAGGGAGCACCCAGCCCTTGCCTCAGCTTGTTTGAGAAGGAGCAGGGAGTTTGGCTTGGGGTGCCTGGGTTTGTTTCAGTGACTGAGGGAACAAATGACAACACACTAGTGAGCTGAAAGCCACTGAAAGTCGTTATCTCCTGGTTGTGGAAGCTTGGATGTGAAATCAAGTGTCCCGGGTTAAGAAGGCTTTAGGGAAGAGTCCTTGGCAGCTCCCAGCTCCTGGGGGCTGCCCGCTGTCCTATGATGCATCACTTGGGGTTTGCATAACTGTCTTCCCTCTGTGTCTCTTCTTTTAAAGACACGAGCCCCGTGGGAGTAAGGGCCAACTCACCTCCAGGGTGGCCTCAGCCTAGCTATTGATAATCAGCAGTGTCCCCATTTCCAAAAAAGGTCACTTCCGAAATGCCCAGTAGACATGGATTTGGAGGGGCCAAATGGGACCCCTCATGGGCCCACCTTGCCCTCTCCCCTCCCTTCAGCGAAGGCCTTCACCCCACGCAGGTGTCCTGCCTTGTTTTCCTCCCCAAGCCTGAGGCAGCTCTGGGGGTGGTTTCCTAAAGTTAAAAGGGCGCCCCTCCACTCTGGGAAGACCCGGTCTAGTGGGAGATCAGAGAACAGGCACCTCCCTTGGGGCAGGCACCCGCATGCTCTCACACCCACTGGGAATGTTCACCTGCTCCTCGAGGCTTCAGGACTTCTTAGCTCCTGGCCCATCCCTCTGTGCTGGTTCTCAAAGGGAACGGGCAACTCGGAGCCTCCCAGCAGGCCAAACCCAGACCGAGGCTTTCGGCCGGCCCGGTGAACTGGCCTCTGCACCCCCGGGCCCAGCTCAGGGCCGAGTTTGGTGCCTTTTCCTTCGAGGACGATGCTAGGGAAGCCCTGCCTGCCTCTCCTGACCGGCCAGCTGCCTCCTCGTGGGCCCAGGCCTCTGCACTCACCCTGGTGGAGGAGGTCGAAGTTCCTGGGCCTCTTGTAACCCGGCTGAATATTTTCCAGGTTACCTAACCAAACTCCTGCAAAACCACACCGCCTTTGCCTGTGACGGGGACCACTTGAATCTGCAGTGCCCTCGGCATTCCACGATAAGTGTCCAATCGGCATTTTATGGGCAAGGTTCCCAAAGGTGTAGCGCCCAGCAGCCCACCTCCCAGAGGGAAGACGGCTTAACCTGTGTGGCCCCCACCACACTGCAGGTATTGCTTCGTGGGTGCTGTGAATGGATAAAAATGGCTCTCTCCCCTCTCTCTGTCACTCTGACTCTCTATGTGGCCTCATAGTGCGCACAAAGCAAGCCTGACCCACGAAAACCCATTTCTGCACATCACCTTTTGTAGGATCGTAGGTGAGTCTTCACGTGTGTCTCCCAAGGGCCCGCTGTGGTCTCGTGGGACCCTCCTCACTGGATCGCACCCCTGCAGCATGAGTTTACTGTGGGCCTTCTGCAAACGACAGGAAAACTCAGCACGCTCCATGGGCCTTGACTTCCAGGTGTACCCCAGAGCGAAGGGGAGACTGTAGACCCTTTAGGGGAAACCGAAGGATCTGTGGGGCTGGCGTCTGAGGTCACAGCCAACTTCCCAGAGAACGAACTCCGGCAAGGGAATTAGGGACACTCACTCGTCTGGGGTTTTCTGCTCCGGTGGTTGATGGATGGTCACCTTATTGTCATGCGGGGCACTTTGGCCCCACATCCACTGACTCAGGCCAGTGTTTGGTTTGGCGCACCTTCATCCTTACATTTTTGGTTGCTGTAGGGAAAGACTTGGTAGAAGGGGAAACTGAAACTATTATTCAATGATGGCTTTAGAGGACTCACGGCTTCCGCTTACCAGTAACACCTGCTGCATTGTCCCGGGGCCCCCACATTTACCACTGGTCAGTCAAGACTATGGAGCCTCGGCCTTGGACTTGGTTAGTGCCTCCAAGTTCCTTAGGATCACGTCGACGTCAGAATGGTTAGGGCAGGTGGCAAATTAGACGTCAGGTGGAATTGGCAATCCCAGGGAATGTGGGACAGACAGATGTCCTCGGAGGACCAAGGAGACATTGTGCTGCTCTCCCTAAGGCCCGAAGAGGAGAAGCAAAGCTAATGCGAACACGCAAGGGTCTGTTTCTCCCCTCCCTTGTTACCATTCCAAGCACTGTAGCGTGTTAGTAGTTACGTGGTAGGTACAGGCACGAGTGACTGGCTCCCAGCTGAGTAGCCAAAACGAGGTGTTTGAAGGGGGCCCTGTCCCTCCCTCCACAGCCCAAGGAGAGACATCATGTTGCTTCTGGGGACAGCAGTGACTTCCCTTGCGTGCCCAGTCCTTGCCCATGGAGGCCGCTCTGGAGCTGAATCCCTCCACCCTGCCCACCCCATCCCTCACCCCGCCCTGCCCCCAGCCCTGGTACCCAGTCTGCTGCCCTCCTACGCACATACTAAGAACATTGCCCAGAGGGCGGAAGTGCCTGCTTTGTGAAGTAAGACTCCCTGGCGCCCTGAAGCACCGAGGCATGGGCACAACCTCACCCTCCAACATGGGTGCCCGCCTCTGCCAGGAGCCCTGCGGGAGAGGATGTTCACCCAGCCAGGCTAGCAAGTTAGCATCTGCGAACACAGATCTGATGTTGTTTGGAGGGTTTGTGTGCCAGAAACATCCACCTGCACTGCTCTTTCATCCAGAGATCAAGAGCCTTCGCTCTCTGTCTTTTAAACTGCAGTTGGGAGCTGAGGCGAGGTGCGCCCCCCCCTCACCCCGGGCCGGGGTCGCCCAGTGTAAGGAGAGAACAGGTAGATGGAACAGGAGGCCTGCAGCAGACCCAGCCCGAGACTGAGGGTCCACAGGCTGCCCCCCAACTCCCTCCCTGCCTGCATTTTGCAGACACAGCCCTGCACCTGCCTCTCTGTGGATGTGGTTGAGTCCCGAGGGGTCCCAAGTGCCGAGCTGCTTCACCATGACCCTGGACCATGAGAATGGTACTATCATCTGGGCACCCTTGGGGTTTCCCTTGGCATTTCTCCTGATCTCACACACATCTCAAGGCCTCTCGAGGTGGCAGGTGGTTCCAGAGCTGCTAGAAAAACGTGGCATCTTCAAAGGGCCCCAGAACTACCCACATGCAGCCCACGGTAACAGGCAGACTCGTGGGGACATTTGCACTGACCTTGGTGTCTTTTCCCAGGCCGATGGGGGCTTACGTGCTTGTCACAGGCGCAGCTGGCTCTGCTCAGGAGCCCACGTGGGAGAAGGGCAGTGACATGCGGTGGTTCCCACAACGCAGGGCGCTGCTGTGAGCACCCCCAGGGAGATGCACTCACAAGGGCCAGTTGCCTGGAGGAGTCAGGAGAGAGGTTGGGAGGGAAGCTTTGTGGTGGAGCAAAGAGCTGAATCATCCTCTGGAACGATCGCTGCAAGGAGAAGCGGGAGGTGGCGGAGGGTGGGCTCAGCCTGGCAGTGTTCGTTTGCCGGCCTGTGCCAGGGGCTCCAGGGGCACCCCCAGTGCTAAGGCTTCCTGTGCCCATGTAGGCCAGTTGTAAGGACGAGGAGCCGGACCCGACCCTCACAGGCCAGTCTCGGCTCTTCCACCAGGGGACCTTCCCGGAAGGGGCTCCCAGTCCCTGGCAGTGGGCGTGCTGAGATTCTCCGACTTGGTTCTGTCCCCTGGAGCCAGCTGAGGCCACTGGAGGCTGGAGTGTGGGGGAGCCTGCCACTGTCACAACAGGCTTCTGGGAGAGTGGGGCCCGGGAGCTGCTTCCTGTTCACGTGTGTGCTGGGACACGCTGCGGCTGCATGTGCTAGAACCTGCAGGTGGCACAGGGCGCCCCGAGCCCAGGGCAGCCAGGTGCGGGTCTCGTCGACGCCGTGCGTGGTTTTCAAGTCTGTCCCTTTTCTACCCTCGTTTTAGAAGGTGCTGGACGAGTGCCAGAACCAGCGGGCCTGCCACCTCCTGGTCAATAGCCGTGTTTTTGGACCTGACCTTTGTCCAGGAAGCAGTAAATACCTCCTGGTCTCCTTTAAATGCCAACCTAGTAAGTAACTTCTGAGGGGGACACTGTGTCTGGGGCCGCGGGTTCCCGGTTTCATCCACGCCCTGATGAAAAGTCCTCTGCTTGTTGATGTTTGTCCAACTTGGAAACTCTTCTGCATGAGAACACGGGGCCCACCCACCTCACCAGCTTTAATGTGCCCGCCTGAGTGCGCCTGCCTGCCTGAGTGCGCGTGCCCGCCTGTGTGCGCGTGCCCACCTGTGTGCGCCTGCCCGCCTGAGTGCGCGTGCCCACCTGTGTGCGCCTGCCCACCTGTGTGCGCGTGCCCGCCTGTGTGCGCGTGCCCGCCTGTGTGCGCGTGCCCGCCTGAGTG